ATATCTATCCACGCTCCTTATAATACGAGCTTCTTTCAGTTCATTTATAATGGCAACAATTTCATTATTATGTGATGTATTACCAGCGCTTTGCGAAGCAATTAATAATTTTAATCTATCTACAAGTTCATTAACATCATCCCAATATACATACTCTATGGGTTTATCGTTATAAGTCAAATACATTCCTTGTCCGGTATGCTGTGACGACGACAACGACGACGACGACCGAGCTTTTTGAGACCCTATTTTGTACATAATGGTTTAATTATATTAATATTTTGAACATAGTAGATCCTTTTAACGTTGACGGCTATCTTTGTGTACATTAGATATATTTAAAATCTTTTTGTAGTCTGATAAATCATTTTGATCATATTTAGGGTTTTTGTAGAAAATTAGACTATAAAGTCCTTGTGTTCCACGAAATCGGTTACCATCTATAATTATATCACCCGTATGTGTATCAACATCATATGTTTACTTCCGATACGCCACTGAGATGCTACAAATCATAAGTTGGTCCATATACTAGATAAATTGTATTAGATTTACTCCAAAACTTCTGCACTGGCTCCCGAGCTATTTCTGGATACTGTAACATAAAGGTGTATCTTCAGGTTCGAAAACGTATCATCATCATCAGCCATCTTAATTTCCTCTCTTCTTTATCACTCGTTTCTTCCTTTTTAATTATACTCAAATCATCGTTTTTCTTGTTTGCTATTTGCCGAAGCTGGTTCGGTTATTGGTCGAAGAGTCTCTTAATATCTTCATCCTCGTCAGACTTACCAATTTTCAAAGCTAAATACTTTCGTCTAACATCTCTAGACAGTTGTTGAATTTTTCTCTGCAAGAGACTACTGTGCTTTGCCTTCTTCACATCATGCAAAACTGATGTTCAGAGACAGATATCATACGCATATATACGTATCGAAACTCTTACGATATCGTCCATGTTTCAATTCAAAATCTTTAACTATCGTTATATTACCATATTTTTCACGCCAGCATCGCGAACACATTTCCTTAAATTGTTCATAGGTAAGATCCATGTTCATGAAATGCATACCGTAAATTCTTGTCATCCTGTTGAAAAGAACTATAACATTAAAGTTATCACGTATAAGCTGTATCGGTATTTTAGAATACGTATGACATAGGTACATAACATCCACGGATTTATGTCTACCCATTGAAAAATATTCCCTACATTTTTTCTGTTTTTGGCATGCAATATCATCAAAAATAAATATAGAGTTATTCGGTGCTTCTAATGGATCGATAATTTCTTCGTTATTTTTATACGGGAAATATTTAACGCATTTTGTCTTCGCTAAAACGTTTTGTAGTAAAGTATATTTGGGCTGCCAGCAATGTTTTAGAGTAGACAAAGACATTTTGAAAACGTGCACCGTTACGATTGAACAGCAAACTCAATGCTGCGTTTGTTTTGCCACATCCACTAGGTCCACAAAATATGGCTCTGAATAAATTCGGTAATAATTTTCCATGTTTGCTCGGAAGGTTGTTATCTTCAGCAAAATCTAAATTTTCGATAGGTAGTGCAGTTGCTTGTTGCTGAATACGCATTTCGATATTTACTGACACACTTAAAGGTGATGCAGATCATTATAAATATAATCACAAAATGTGCGTGTGCTCATTATTGTGTTAGCATCCAAGCGAGGAGGAGAAGGAGAAGGTGTTCTGAACTCGCTAATCGATCGGCTTCCCATTGAGCTTCATCTACCTAAGTACCAATGTTGCGGTCCTGGAACTCATCTGCAAAAACGGCTTAGACGAGGTGATCCTGGAATCAACGGTTTAGACGCTGCTTGCAACAACACGATATAGCTTATTCAAAATCTTCATCTATAACCGATCGTCATAAGGCTGATGAAATTTTGGAACAACAGGCTTGGAATAGAGTAAGGTCGAAAGACGCAAATTTTGGTGAAAAAGCTGCTTCGTGGTTTGTTACTAACGCAATGAAGGTGAAACGTAAACTTGGGATGGGCCTGAAACCGGCTTCATTTAGAAGAGATGTTAAAAAAATTTCCAGACATTTAAAGAAACACAACCCATCAGCGGCGGCGGCGGCGAATTTGACTAACAAAAAAGAGCTAATCAAGTCGTCCACTATAGCATTGAGAGCCGCACGGATGGCAATAAAGAAAGCTGGAGGACGGAAAAATATTCGAGTTCCGCGAGTGATACCGTTTGAAGCAAAAGTGTAGGTTTTTTGCCGCTGTTGCCGTTGTTTGCAGGATTCAGCGCCTTGGGGAGTATTGCGGGGGGTGCTAGTGCAGTCACCAAAACGGTAATCGACTCTAGAAATGCTGAACGAAAGCTTGAGGAAGATCAGCGACATAACAAAGCAATGGAAGAAATTGGAAAACAAGGATCCGGTCTGCTCTTACGCAAAAATGCTCGAGGCGGTCTCGGTTTATTTTAAAAAAAGCAACAACACCCAAAAAACTACCAATAAAGCTACCCGATAGAGCTCTATACAATGTGGACTTACGGAAATTTGTCAAAAAGCTTAAAATAGCACATTTTTGCGGTGTATTTATGCGAGATGCTATACCTAAAGGTGGTGCTAGAACAAACGAATGTGGTACAATCAATTTAGATGAACAAAGAACAAAGGAACGCATTGGGTAGCATGCAGAAAAAATGGTAATGTAGCTGAGTATTTTGATAGTTTTGGTAATCTTAAACCTCCACGTGAACTCGTTAAATATTTAAATGCTGCTATCGTATACAATAATGACTGTTATCAAAATTATGATCAAAGCATCTGCGGTCACCTTTGTTTGGAATTTCTCTATAAAACTAATTGACGCACCGTAGCCTCTCTCAGTCATGTCTCAGATATTCACCTTGAAGAGTCATACGTCAACGTTGTCCATTGATTTTGTGAATCCGATTAGATTAGAGGATGGGTCTGATTACGGTTTGAGTTTATTGTCTTTTTATTCCTATAATAGTGTACCTAACATTGACGAGGGACACAATAAATTTTATTATTACGAGAACAACAACAAAAATCGAGAAAAAAATATCGTCATTCCTACGGGTGCGTATGAAATAGAAGATATTGAATCCTATATTAAGAAACACATTGTTGACGGTGGTGGTGGCGGTGGTGAGGGTGGTGATCGAGTGAAAGACGTTTTTTCGCTGAAACCTAATCTGAATACGCTCAAGTGTGAACTGTACAGTTCAGTGCATGGCATTAACTTTCAACCAAAGGATTCCATCGCATACGTTTTAGGATATTCTCCATCAAGAGTCTTGGAACCTAGGATTTATCACCAATCAGATCTTCCCGTTAATATAGTTAAAGTTAGAACTATCCATATCGATAGCAATATTACTGTTGGAGCTTTCTACAATGATAGACCTTCACATACCATATACGAATTCTCTATTACAGACGAGGCTGGGTGTGCAATTAACGAAAGTCCTAAAAACTTGATTTATCTACCAGTGAATCAACGTGAAATAAATAACATTACTTTGATGGTGCTCGATCAAAATTTTGAATTAGTGCACTTTAGAGGAGAAGAAATCATCATACGTTTGGAGTTGAAAAAATTATAATGGTTTTGGTGATTCCACCCCACCCCCTCAAAAAACACAAATATAAACCATATATTCCGGTTAATGCTCTATGAGTTGGTAGTGGTCATTCGAAGAGTGCTGACGTGCTGCATTCCACACTTACTATAGCCAACCGATTATTTTTACAATCGCTCAATTACGATGTTGTCAGGTCAAGTGTTCGACGTTTACGAAAAACCGATATTTGATGATACAATCCAAGGCGTTAAAGAGTTCACATATAGACCGTATATTGCGTCTTTTCTCAATAACGATGAAATCATCATTACTATTAATCAGAGTGATGCATGGCTTTTGATGTATGATGCCGCTATTGTAATTAAGGGGAAATTAAAAAGAACTGCTGGCGCTGGAACAGTTTCCTTTGTGAACAATGCCGGACCGTTTTTCTTCGACTCTTGTACATACGAACTTAATGGATCCATACTGGACACCGTTCGAAATCCGGGTATTGTAAGCACCGTTCGAGGATACTTATGTTACAGTATTAACGATTCAAGACATTTAGCCACAACGTGATGGAACTATCCTTCTGTATCTATTCTTGATGCTACCACAGGCTATTTTAGCCTAAGAGTTCCACTTAAAAACTTACTGAATTATTTTAATGACTATAAATTTGCTGTATATGGGAAACATACTATACGTCTAGTGAGAGCACGTAATGATAATAACTGTATGCTTATTGCTGAAGCTGCTGGCGTCGCCGCCGCCGCCGCCGCCGGTACTACACAAGCCCAACTTGAAATTGATGAGATCAAACTGCTAGTAAAACATATTTACCCCAATGATGTGATTAAAGTGAATCTACTAGAAAATATTAAAAACGATAAGCCGGTGTATGCACCATACAGAAAGTGGTCTTTACACGAACTTCCAGCTCTAACAGTTAATGCTAAACGTGAAATATGGCAGATACAAACGTGTGCTGCTATAGAGTGTCCACGATATGTAATAGCGGCTTTTCAAACAGATAAATTCGATAAAGTTAATCAGATTCCAACTTTATTTGATCATATTGATGTAACAGACGTTCGACTGCTCATAAATGGGGAATACTATCCCCATGAGCGTTTGAGATTTGACTTTGATAAAAACGATTATGTGGACGCTCACATGAATTATATAGATTTTTATCCGAGTAATAAAAATACCTCATTCAAGCCTGCACTACTTGACTATTCATCATTTAAAAATCGTGCCATTTTTGTTATTGACTGCTCTAAACGTAGCGAATCAATAAAATCGACAACAGTAGATATGGAATTAGACATTGAATCGGCAAAAGGGTTCCCTACCAATACACGTGTTTACTGTATTATTATTCATGATTGTGTAATGGAACTGCATCCCCTCTCCGAAATAATTAAACAATATATGTAAAATCATCCTTTGGATTCGATCATTTACTTGTAGTTTATCGAATAGAACCAACAATGGCTACAATGTGCTTTGTTGATCTGCAAGGATTTTATCTTCAGAATCATGGTTTTGTGGTTAAAGAAATGTCGATACTGGTTGGAAGTTAAAGCAATTATTTCTTATTCAGATCTATCAATAAATACAGTTCATTAACCTCTAAAGATAAAGCTACGATACGGTATACTGAACGGTACCATGGACTCAGATATGAGAAGGGCTACGTGGATTATAGTTTACTTGATGAAATCCTCAGGCGTCATTTAGCTGATGTGGATATTGTATACGTAAAAGGACAGTGCAAACGTCAATTTTTAATCGATAGATTAAATGATATGCAAATTACTAAGCCCAATATTATCAATGTTGAAGATTGTGATTCGCGTTTACAAAGCATACACTTGAAAAACTACAACGGCTATCCATTCAAGATGACGACGACGACGACGAGGCTAAATGGAGACGAAATGTGTTTCACAATTATGAAAGATTTCAACGTTTAAATTGTAAATTATCACGAAGAATACATTTAATTAATGAATTGTAATTACATATATCGATAAAAATGTATTAGGCTTATCTTGGTGTTTTTTTATATAATGTAATGATTACCTTCCTAAACGTTAGTTAATCGTTAATCATGGTTGCATTAACACCTAATTATTTTGTACTATGTGCTTTGGTGAACGGTGCTTTTTACGTTCAACATCCATTAAGAGTGGAGGAAATATTCATTTGTTTTAGTGAAAATAATACCAAAAACGAAAGTTGGCCTTCAAGATGGCAGCGCATATCTGCTACTATGCTCAACAATGATGTTGAAGCATTTGAAGTTACAGGCCAGAACATGTTACCGAATATAAATTACGATTCGTACTTCAGGAACACAACTACAACGATACTGCGTGGAACTATTTTCCATCCCCACCACCACCACTAAGTGAGACGCCTAAAGAATATATAGATAAGCTGCCAGCATATATGGTTTACTACATAGCTGTTTGTATATCGCTGCTGATCATCAAACTTCTAGTTTGTTAGAAATGACATTTGTTGTTTTTCGTAAACAGCTGGACGATCTTCGTTATGTCACCAAATATATTGGCGATTATCATTTCAAACGAACATTTATTAAGCTGCGTGTGCAACTATGGGTATAAATATTCCATCAACATTATTAGATGAGCTACTAGAACCCTGCTGGGATCATCATACTCCGGCAAATGACAACTGTTGTGACGTCATTGATGGTCCATACAAGTCGCATAAACTAGATTGTGATACATGTATGAAGTCTTATATTAAATAATTTATAACTCTGCTTTTTCTTTTATTCACCTTTCCTCGTTTATGTCACATACGTTACGTGTCACGTATGCCACATACGTCACGTGTCACGTATGTCACGTACGTCACTTGTCACGGACGTCACGTGCATGGTAGAACTAATGGTGAGCAATGTGTGCTGGAGAGAGAGGTGACTATTCGTAAATAAAATAAACACATCTTTCACAATGCAATTTAATTATATACAGATACAAGCTTCGATAAGAGAGTTTTTAGTTGATGTAACAAATCCTCGTTGGGACATGGTACTCCAAATAGATTCCAATGAAATGGTCCGGTCGCAACAACTTTTCTTGTAAACTCGTTGAATTTATAGTAATTACTTTGACGGAAAAAGTAAATATGACCATCAATCCATCGAAGTGCGAGAGAAATATCTTTAGGTAACCCAGGAAATATGTCTCTTATCCGTCCTCTGTTCAACACGTCAGTAAAATCATTAGAAAATTCTATATATGACATATTATTATAAAAGGTATAGGACCGCCCTGCGTGTGATTGAAAAATAGCATTGATTAGAGCCCTATCGGGTATATCAATTGAAAAGTTATCAATAAATTTAATGGTAGGGAATGATGCTGAGAAATATTTGTTTGGGGAGACAATTGTAATCAAATCACCGTTTGTTGATTGGAAAATATGTTGTAAAGTATATTGATGTAATTCTGTAGGAATATAATCGACAAGAAGATCAGGCTGAGATGGGATAATCATTTCGTTCAAGTCTAGTTTCCATATAAACATATCATGTGCAATATATAATCGGTAATTCGAAAACTCTGGAGCAATGGCTAGAAACATAAAATCTGGTACAATATCACACACATTTTTCTGCTGCTTACGATATGATAGTAGAAGACGGGTCACTTTGCACAACCTTTTGACTCACCCTGTATACAACCTTCTTCACTCCCCCTGTATACACTACACCTCACCTTATCGGCCACACATCCGCATGCGAACGTCGTCGCGCCGATAACGCGATCCTGCAACCGTCCATACACCGCCATCTTTCTTTAACGCTCCCAACCTTTTGACTCACCATGTATACAACCTTGTTGACTCCCCCTGTATACACTGCACCTCACCTTATCGGCCACACATCCGCATGTGAACGCCGTCGCGCAGATAACGCGAACCTGCAACCGTCCATCGGCTGTTTTATCTCACTTCCGCTATGGAATGCCCTTAGCTCCACTACTGACTTACTATTCCATACAATGTTGCACCAGACGCTAGCTCAGCAACAGATAACGACTTCTCGCTAACTCGTTGCTTATGCTTTGTTTTCTAGTAGTGCTTTGTAAGCACACCAATAGTATAAATAGGCCTTGCAGCCATTTCATTGGGTTGTTCAATACCCGGCTAGGCACCGTAACAGTCACTTATGTAAACTTGTGTTCAATACCCGGTTAGACTCCGTCAAGTCAAGTAATTGTAAACGTTTGTAACGGACAGTAGCTACTGTCCTCAAATAATTTTTTTAAAAAGTAAAGTTGAATTTAAATGGTATAACATCGATGTTAGTATGTTTGAAAATTTTCGACGCGAAATTTCGGACCGGCTGTTATTGTGTCAAGAAGTTCAAGGTAATCATTTCCAGCATCTTCTAAACTGAACTCAACGTATTTAGTCGAATTATCAAGTTAAATGTCAATGTATCCAGGTAATTATTAAATGTACCACCATTTTGTAGTACGTAAAGGTATTGACTTTATATTCTAGGGTTATAAAGTACTCGGCAGGAGCTTCAAAATGATGTGCCACATACGTTTTCATATAATTTTTTTCCAAGATGGCGCCCATCGGCTATCTTGACATCTTCATTTGTCAATTTTACTCTAAAATATGGAATCCACGCATCAATTTCGTTACCTCAAGTTAAAATTTTTGAATTGATCTGTTCAAAATATCAAAGGGGAGGGGGACATTAAGAAAAGCACTATATAAAAAAAGCGAGGAAACGTAAATACGCTTTCTTTTCGGATTCGTTCGTTAATTTACTTGTAATCTTAACGTAAAAGGGAAAATCTATTAAACCTGTGGCATAAGAAAGAAAAACATTTTCTGTTTGAGAAAGAAATATCAAAAACTGGACAAGTTTGATATTTGAAACACTCAGACTTTGCTAGTTATAATAGTCACAGTAAATATATATATATATATATATATAATACTTGGCTCGAAAGTCTGCATTTATCTCTCGTAGTATT